GAACCAATAGAGCTCTCATCTTTACTCTCCATAGGCCGAAGTCGTTCTTCCCATTGAATTTCTCAATGTCAAATTTGACGGAACTCATTTCGTGGCTAGGATTTCTTCCAATGAATTCTACCTGTTGCCTTTCCAAGAACTAGACTTCTCCCCGTGAACTCCACTGCCTTCGTCAACCGAACAGAGAGCTCTGATTCCTTCTGACAGAGATCACACCTGTTCACCGGAGGAAACTTCCTGTTCTGTGCTCGCGCCTCCTTCCTGCAGGCACTCCTCTGCGTCCAGCGGAACAAATCAGGAATTCCTCTAGGTAAGAAGTATGGATCTTCCCACAGAAGGCGCCAATTGTTGTGAGATATTTACTTCGTGGCATATAAATGAGACGAAAAAGAACACAAGCAATCAGAAATCGTTTACGTGGTTCGATCCAATTGGATCTACGTCCACGGGAGGGAATCAATCAAATAGTTCACTAAGGCAAAAGAAATGGAGAATACATAGCTTATACATAGAGATGAGCCCCCATCTTCTTTCTATGGCCTCCCTCTCAAGCGACACCTTGATACAAGGCCTCAAGATGCTCTCCTCCTCTCTAGCTCTCTAGCTATTCTCTCCTCCTTTGTGGTAGCTTAAGATCTCTTCTCCCCTTCTCTCATAAGTCTCACACCCTTAAGATTTCTTCTCTTGCTCTCCTAAGCCTCACACCCTATCTATTTATAGAAGCAAGAGAGTGGTAGGTGAGCGGTAGGGCGGTAGGTGAACGGTAGGTGAACGGTAGGTGAGATGTGGTAGGTGAGCGGTACCACATTACAAAAATGTCATTTTACATTAGTTCATTAATTGGGGGTCAAAATAACAGGTTGAAAATAAAGTGAAGAAATACAATGCATAGAATTCAAATAGAAACCAAAGTCAGCTAACTTTCTATGATATAGGGGTACATTAGTTCAAATTTTCAATAAACAGTGATATTTTTTTATTTTTTTATTTGGAACACCTATTCAAATTAAAATAAATTTTCTCAAAAGAAATATTTTCTAATACTGGCGCCATCAATTCATGCAATAATCACTGATTAAGTATTCTTTAACCATCAGGCATATGGGGATTCTGGCATCATTATAGGCCAGACTGGTGAACATGCAGAACAAGGGAAATACAATGGAATTGAATACATGAAATGTGCACCAGAAAACAATTTTTTCCCTATCTTATCAGCCGTTAAGCCAACAGATATCATCTTCTTCTGCTCGCCAAACAACCCTACAGGCCATGCCGCTTCCAGGAATCAGCTAATAAAGCTGGTAGAAACTGCACGAAGGAATGGATCAATCATTGTGTTTGATTCTGCTTATGCAGCTTATATATCGGATGATAGCCCGAGATCCATCTATGAAATTCCTGGCTCCAAAGAGGTAAACTAAAATATATTTATCATATATGAATAAGTTAGATTTTTTTTCCTTCTATGTGCATGCACATGCAATTTATTTTTAGCTGTGATGATAAAGGAGTCATTTTTAATCATATTTTTTAAAATTATGAGCATATATCCAACATTACAAATATTCACACACACACACACACCAAATGGGGGCGGGGCGCATACCTATTTATTTATTTATTTATTTTATTTATAATATGATAACTAATTTTATTATTCATATTATTATTAATATATATTAAATAACATTATAAATATTATTATTATTATTTATTGTATACATTAAAAAACATTAAAATTAATTTCTACATTAATTAATAAATTGCAATTAATTTTTATTTAAATAAAAAAATGAAATAACTAAATGAATTAAGAAAAATTGTTATTTGTAAAATTTATTTCAAAATTGAAATCTTTACAAAATGAAACAAATCAATTAATTAATCAAATTTAACAAATATTAAAAAAAATATTGTATTCTTCTACGTTGAGGTGGAAAAACACTTGAGCCACTTGTATATTACAATGGTCGATGACGTAACTGACGTCCTTGAAATTCTTGTGCGACATCATCGCTCTCAGTTGTATCATTCGTACATCTTGTGGCTTCCTAGTAAATCTGTTTATTGAGATTTGGCAAAAAATATGTTTGTGGTGTACCAAAATCCATGCCTACGTGATAAATAGACGCAGACAATGGAATGTGTTGAAAATTTAAATTGAAGTCTCCACCACTAGTAGTTGTTCACTGCAGATCAAATAATGAAACCTTAAATGTTGATGGTACTGCATATCCGGAGAGTCCAACATAGTTGAATGGTCCTCCAAAACCAGTGTCCCGCAAATAGCAATTGAGCAGGATAAGTAGATGTCTTACGATATTGTTGATTTTCTGCTTCTTGAAATGAAGACCGTTGTGCTCTGCTAACAGAAGAACTTCTTTGAGCACTTGTTGTCGATCGTCATCGTTTTTTTTAGTATAGTAAATGAAAAAGTCTCAATGAGAAAAAAATTATCTCTCGGGCCATCGATGTTCAGTCAAGTCGATGCTGAGTCTAAAAAATGTGAGTCGTCTCTCACTTTGCCTCGTAGTGGAGGAAGATGACCGAGGTGGAGCATCAGATGTTGATCTACGGGTGCCCTTCGGTCAGACATTTGTGCTATGAGACGACCCTGCCTCAAAAGCATGTCGACCATGCCAATCAATTGTCTTATAATCAATGTGCACTGATTATTCTACACTACGTGATAGCTCCAGAATCTCATTGTAACCTTGTTTCATAGAACTAGCAATTGCTTCATGATCCCCTCCATATATATGAATAAGGGATTCCAACTGTATGATTGGTAAATTTAGATTATTATTATGTATTGTAATAAGAAAATAGTACTGGCTATGAAGGAATGCCAAAACGCAAAAGCTTCCCACTATCTTCTCTCATAGCGATCACACATAATTGGTTTTAAGAGGTTGAGTTGGAGGCTTTGTTAAGTAGAGTGAAGCCCAAGATCGATACCACAAAAATTATTATATAATTCTTCCTCTCCGTCTCCTTCTGCCGAGGTCATTAACACAATAAAAGCCCGACAATTATGCTATATCTTGATATATTTACTATGATATTCCTCCCGGTTATACCTTACTTTATCTCGCCCATCGACTCTCTTAAAATCTTGTTTGATAGATTCAATGATTATTGACTAGGTGTTTGAGAACTAACTCCTAAAGCGATCTGGAAGGTGTCACCCGACTCGCTTCCAATTTATTAGTGGAACACATGCAGTCCAAATGTCCATCCTCTCAAAACAACTTTTATGTAATAACACGATATTTACATTTATACACGGTGTTCAGATAACATGCAGATGTGATTATAAATTAAATTTAGTTAATATATATAGTTAAGTCAATATTAGGAGATTAAATAAAAAATGATTAGTATATACTTTGTCTGAGTCCATTAAGCTCATCTCTATACATCATGATATTTAGGAACGAGACGTCTCGTGCCCACTCTTCTTTCCATCTACATTGTATTTAAAATAATGAGTTTAATGTAAGTAATGAATTAGTGTGTTTAGCTTTAAAGTGAGAAAATAATTTTGTACCTATACCCGAGGGATTTACCCATCATTTCCCGAGGAACTGGAAATGAAGAGATGGTCGACCAACATGTAAATGCTCACATGCCCAAGTTTGGCACAGATGCAGACATCCACCAATCATGGTATAGGAAGGCTTGGTAGCTAGATTTAATTATCTATAAAGGAATTCTCAAATCACGCAACCCAAAAAATATTGTCTAAATTCATCCATATCTTTCAATAATGGTAAATATTCTATGTATACATATGAATTTCTGTAGTAACGCCAATAGCCAATGTAGTGGCACCATAGCTTGTGCATGAGACAATCCCATAAAGAAATTTGATGTAATGCTATGGTGTATAGGATGGTGATATTGAACACTATCACTATGATGGTCACCCAACAGTTCATCGCAGCATGCCGGGCAACCTGGCCAACACAATCTCGGGCCAACAATATTCAGCCCAACTACGACCTTTTCATCTATCCTAATGTCGATGAGTACCTTAACGTCTAGTAGAATTATAGTTATTTCATCTAATATATTTGTACAAATGTATGAATAAGAAAAGTAAATACATTTATAAATGTGAAATTAAATTTATTTTACCATTAGGTAAATGAAAAATATTGGTCATAGGGCACCACCTCCCGACTGAGGCAGTTATAAAGTTGTGTAGTTCGATGTAGGTCAGGTTTCTAATGCATTCCAATCCCAAGACTTTGATTGCATAGAAGAATCATAAGCATTCGATCTGGAATATGATTGGCACATTCCAGAATTTTTTTCTATAAAATTTAAATTAATTAGTTTAGATAATTATTTCATGCAAAATTAACTAACATGAGAAATTCTTTACGTTCTTACACTCTTTAAAGTAACTTCTGATGCACGATGTGCTTCACCCAACATTGCAATTCTAAGAGGTAGGAATGTTCGTTGTGAAGTGGTCCGTCTAGCACTGTCGGGGCGGCCTGTCGAACCTACTCCCTCGGCCGTCTCTACTCAAGTGATCGTAGTGTTGGTAAATAGAAAGACAATTGATTCATTAAAAAAACAAGTACGTAGAAGCAATGGAGAGTTAAAACTTATATTTATTAGAGTATTTTAATCGAACCTGCTAGTGTTCAGATTGTAGGGACATGTTGCTTAACTATGCCCCATATTTTTACAAAAACTACACATTCTTGTGCTCGTAGTTCTTCTCTCGTCGATCGTGTTTCTTATCCTACTTGTCCTTGGACGACCACTTCTTCTTCTAATTAGGGGGGAAGTAAAGTGACAATACCTTTTTGTTGATTGCATGGTGGCCACGACTCATTCTCAGGTATCACATAAAATAATGCTTCATTTTGTTTTGATAGAAATCCAACATGAAGCATTTTGATTATATATATATATATATATATATATATGTCACTCAAATTTTCAACATCAAATCAAGAATATTACCATCCCTATTTTTTTTTAAAAGTGAAATATACTATTTCATGCATAGTTTTATGGCATCAATGAGTTATAAGAGTAAATATCCGATTTTGGGTGTTAGATATGTAAATATATAATACTAATGTGGTATGTATTTAAACTTCTTAATATTTACTAGATGTTGCCACAACTGTATGTGATGCATTTGTTTTTCTTTTAAATCTTGACTACTGATCTCCCTAACAGTAGCCATGCCTCTTTAAAATTAAACAGTGGGGAAAAAAAATCTCGCTGAATTTATTTGAAGTCATGCTTTTAAAATAGTCCGAGTATAGCCCATTTTCTCCTCACAAAAAATATTAGTAAGAATTTTACTAACTATAGCTTAAAATTAAAAAAAAATTTCTCTATGAATATCTTCTTAATTACATTCTTAAGAAAAATATAATTATCAATTGATATCTAATCACAACAACAACAACAAGCCTTCATCCCCCTAAGTAGGGTCGGCTACATGAATCCTTTTCTCCATTATGTTCTATTGAGTGTCATATGTTCTATTGAGTGTCATATTTTGTCATATTTTCATTTAATTCTAATAGATTAAGGTTAATTTTCATACAACATGCCCCTTCTTTTGAGGTCCATCTGTATCTTTCTTAATATAAGTCATATCTAAAACATATACTCTCATAATCAAATCATCAGATGACCAAACCATCTAAGATAACTGTCTATAAATTTGTCTGCCAGTGGAACTGCACCAACCAACCCTTTCACGGATAGATTCATTTTGCATTTCATCTCACTCATCCACATAAGCATTCTCATCTCAACAACACTTAATTTTGTTTTTATGCTTCTCTTTTAAAGGCTAATATTCTGCGTCATAAAACATTACAGGTCTGACCACCATCATATGATATCTAAATGCTAATATGTATAGACAAACATTTCTTAAGAATTCATCATTAAAACACTTGATTGATTGACTGAACCATACATGTGAATCAAGGTTGCAATTGAGGTCTCTTCTTTCTCAAAATCTGCTGGTTTCACTGGAGTTAGACTTGGCTGGACTGTCATCCCTGAAGAACTCTCCTACTCCAATGGCTACCCTATTCTCAGAGATTTTGATCGCATTATTTCAACCTGCTTTAATGGAGCTTCTAACATTGTTCAAGCTGGTGGCCTCGCTTGTTTATCACAGCAAGGACAGATGGTTTGTGATTTATTTTTTTTACATATTTTTTTTGGAAATTATATTGTGAGAAGTAATTTAAATTGTTTATTGCATCTTTTCAGGATTTGCAAGAAGTAATCAATTTTTACAAAGAGAATGCAAATATTTTAGCTGAAACTCTTTCTTCCATTGGTCTACAAGTTTATGGTGGCCTGAATTCTCCATATCTATGGGTTCAATTTCCTGGTACAAAATCATGGGCTATGTTTGCTGAAATCCTTGAGAGAACACACATAATCACTGTACCTGGTTCTGGTTTTGGTCCCAGTGGCGAAAGTTTCCTCAGGATTAGTGCTTTTAATCACAGGGAACTCATTCTAGAAGCTTGTAGAAGATTCACAAGATTTCTATAAGATTATTCCTTTAATGTTTTCATATTCTTTTGTATTTTTTTTTTCTTACTGTATCAAGGAGCTAAATAAGGATTTAGGTGAGAATTAAGAGTATATGAGCAGATATGTGGTGTTGCTTTTTTGATTTAAGAAGCTAAGCTTGCATGTATTGCAACAGTATGGCTTCAATAAATGTTCTTTTAGGCTAGCAGTGTTGGTTTGTAGAGTAAAATCAGGAGAAAGTAAATAAAAATGAGAGTTTTATTTATAGTTGTTTGATTAGAATGTAATTACGATGAAAATAATTTAAAATTAAATATAATATTTGTTTGGGGACATTTACATACATGCGGCACTATTCTTTACTTTAATATTCACATGCTTAGCACTTTGAAACCTTTAATATCACATAAAAAATATCACTATCATCGTCTTTTTTCAAAGTGAAATTCACTTTTTTATGCATAGGTATTTCATAGCCAAAGTGTTATAATTAAGGGTAAATATGAAACTTTAGGTGTTATATATATGTAAATTATACAGAAGAATTGTGTGGTATATATGTAAATTTCCTTTTTTTATACCTTTTTTATTGTTTTCATGAAGGTCATGTGAAGTGTGATGAGTCATTTGGGGCTTTAATTGGAGTTTGTTGGCTAACCTTAAAAGTTTTCCATACAAATTTTCTCTATATAAAAAACATTTATTATTATTTCCATATTTGAATTAAATCAACGACAAGCGTTCCTTAAAAGTAAAAATAGATTGAAAAAAAACATGGATTGCTGCTCCTCCAATAATGCATGGATTGCTGCAATGAATAATCTCGACTGATTTACATTTCAAACCCCAATAATGCATGGATTGCTGCTCCTCCACTCGTGTTGCCATCCTTGCATGAAAGACATCTGGAATTTTCTAGCATAATCCAGCAGCAACCGCACAAACAAATCTCTTTGCATTGCCCCACTTGTTTCTTGTTGGCTTCCACCCATTACTCTAACCTCTCTCATAAAGAATTGAACAGAGCTTGTTCGTGTTTGGTTCGTTTGAAATTTAGTTTGTTCGAAATTATTCGTGAAGCCACTGTTTGTGTTCGTTTCTTAACGAACAAGCTGAACACTAGTTGTTCACGAACGACGAGCCAGTTTGACATCCCTAATATGAATATATACAAATAATATATTATATTAATTATTTAACTTATATTATATAAATATATATTATCTATATTAGTATATTAGTTATATAGTATATTAATATATTATTATTATTAATTTATTATATATTATAATTTATAAAATTTAATTTTTTAAAATTATATTTCGAACAATAACGATTCGAACACGACGAACACATCACTGCTCGTGGTTGGTTTCTTTTAACTAACCGAACGAAAAAAAAAAAAAAATTGTTCAGGTTCGTCTCGTTTACTTATCGAACGAATCGAACACGAACTCATTGACGAACCGAACACGAATTATTTGCGAACAACGAACTTTTTTGACAGCCGTACTCATATCTAAATGCACCTAATATTCTTTCAATTTAGGCACATTATGAGACCTTATCATGCATAGTTATATTGTGGTATTTATGTAAAAATTGGAGCTTAGGTGTTAGATATATAAATACTTAAGAATTGAGTGGTACCGTTTGTTTATGGCGAAACCTCTTATAGTAAAGATTACTCAATTAATAAAATAGCTCATAAATTATTATGATTATTTATTTTGTTTTTTCTTGTGTTGTATTTTAACTCTCCATGCTCGATGTGCTAGAATTGGGGCTGTGAATTTAGCTTGAAAACCAACAATCTGTTGAAAATTGATTTTGAATTTTGGCTAGGATCGAAATAAACAAGCCAACCTATTAGCCAAAACTTTGGATCAATTTTTTTTTTAGCCAATTTCAAGTCATACACGGTTCTGCTCAAGCTGACTTGAGTAAAATTGAATATAACGAGTCACGAGAAAACTTCAAGCTGGAACAAATCCAAATAACTCAATTTGAGCCACGTAGTTTGAATTTCAAGCCGGATCAAACTTGATTTAATTTTTGAGCCAGCTCTGCTCGAAATCAAATATAAAGAGCCAATATCCAATATTGAACCACACTAAATCTATTTGAGCCGACCCCAATTCAGCTTGAAATCGGATCGTTAACAACCCTAACTAAAATGCACAACACGTTTTGTTAAAAATAAATTGAAGAATCAAGATACTATATTCTAAGACTCATTTGTATTTCCTTTTATTGTGTCATGCACTCCTCAAATTAAATTTAATTGTTTTAAAATGAATTGCCATAACTAATTTGAGGAAGATATTGTGACATAAAATTCTTTAATAAGAAGCCTTTCTTTCTTTCTTAAAAAAAAAGAAAGGTTAGAACTAACGCAATCTTTATTTGAAGATAATACTAGCTATAGTTTAGTTAGCTTTTTTAGGTGGTTGGTTGAAGGCTTGAAACTTGAAAGAAGGATTAATATACAAGCGGCCTAGAAAGAATTAAAGTTTGCCCACTTGGCCTGCCTTAACTAAAAAACCACTGCAAAAATATTAAATGGACTGCTCAACCACCACCTTGTTTCACTTTGAAGGATCAACAAGTTTCAAAGCCCTTTTTTTTTAATTTTTATTTTCTCTAACTCACATTGTCATTATGAACCAAAAAGCTGATTGCTTCAAGAATCACTTTATGTTTGTTTAGTTTTAATTGATGGAGTAAGCTCTCTAAACATCAGAACAGACATTGGACGTGTTCCGAGTCATAGCTAGCATCATCCAATAGTGAATTTTACCGGGTGAGACGGAATCAGTACCGATCCTGATTTTATGCTCTGGAAACATATCAGGAGGTCTCAAATGGTTGTATTGAACGACAGGATGCTATGAATGCACCGTATATCATCCTGAGTCGTTCATAGAGGCACCCTACACTTGTGACATTAAAAATTGATGCCAACAAAAACCAATGAAACTAAAACAATAATACTACTCTGATTCCATCAACCAAATGGACAAAAAAAGAATAAAATGAGATGCAACCATATAATACCCATTAATTAAATTCAGAAATCACAAATTAAGCAAATTCATATCAAATTAAGCAAATCCATCACAATTATAAATTAATGCAAAATTAATTTCCTTGTCTATCTACTTCCTACAAAAAATAATCATTACATAAAAAGATTAAACAAATTTAATTAATGTCTTCACTCTAACAAAAGTCGTTACAACATTAAAAATAATCTCCATCATAATCCACAAAATAACAGTTCTTCAAACCTCACGTACATGAACATAACAATTTGATACAAAGTAATAAACTTAAATGGAAAAGTAATTCATCTCAAGTAAAATTGGATACAATATTATTAATATGTACATTATAAAACATATCATCGATCTTGCCATCACTAGTCTTATCTCCATCATCAATACTTCATCCTCACAGATTTTGTCCACCTGCATGTTGATTTATGCATAACTTAGGCACAAAATTATATCAAATGTTTATATAAATAAGAAAATTAGTACTAATAAAATACCTGTAGAAAAGCCTTCAACATGTAACCAATCCTCATAACACGACAATGTTTGAATCTACTTTGAGTTTATAAAGCATCGTGTTGGGTTAAGTTTTTTTTGCCCATATTGAAAGTTTACTCAGAAGCTACAGTAGATACAAAGATTGATAAAATATCTCTAGTCAAAGATGTCATTATATTTAAGTTAATCTTTATGTGACATTGCTCCAATGGTGTAAAAAATCAAGATTTAAGTTTGTATTTGACATTGGTTCTACCAAATAAAGATTAAGTTATGATGTACTTTTGATCTCTCTTGATTTTTTCTTCAAGTATCATATAAATACAATTTTGTTGGAGTTAGAGCGATGTAAAGTTTGGTTAGATCTTTCATAATAACTAACTGTTATTGAACCTTACTCATGTTGGTTGTTCTTATAATGCTCAAATAAATTATAAAGCAAATTATTGATTTTTTGAACATGATTAACTTCAAATAACTAAGCTTGTTTCTTTGATCTAAAATAGCTAAACAATAGAGCAATAAATTATATTCAAACTAATACTAATCAATTTTTTTTTTTGTATATTTATAACCATATCTGTTATGAAATATAGAGAACATGAAAGTTACTTCAAAAAATGCATTTGAATTTTCCAAATGCTGAAAAAATAAATTTTTATTGTGCGAGTTTTGGTTGCTGAAAATAAGCATATGACCTCATAAAAAACTTTTAGAAAAAAATATCTAAACAGTCCAACTTTTGGCATTCTATGCTCGTAAGCTTAAGAACATGGAGTTTCCATAAGAAAATAACTTCCTTGTAATATAATGCACAATCGTTCATATATATGTTATTTCATTTTATGTACATATCAATTTAAAACTTTATCCTTATAGTCAAATGAAATATTGTGCTGAAAATCACATAAAATTTTTTAAACTTTGGGATTGAGTTATTTTGATTTTTTAACCCTCATTTAATATCTCAATAACAATATTAGTTGACTTCAACTCTATTTGTATAGTGAGATTCAAAATATAAAAGTAACATTGAATTTGGAATAAACTACCATCATATATTAATTCTTTCTTTGCATCAAGTACATATATTGAGAAGATTAACAGTAAAATCATTTTGCGAAGCATTATCAAGAGAAAGACACCTATATGTCTATCATTAATCTTTCACTCAGACATAAAAAAATGTTATCTCATTAGAAATTATTGGCTCATCAAATAGTGGTTTTAAAGCTCTGAACATTATTATTCTTTTTTTATAAATTCCATCCAATATCAATAGAATGTGCAATTATACAAACAAGCTCTTTCGTCGACTCATTATGTCAAGTATCAAATATCAAACAAATGCGACTAGTACTCCTCAATAATTCATCCAACACATACTTTTTTTTTGTTGTTCATGATATAACATAATATATCTTTATAAGGTATGTCTTCTGATAAATTTAAATTATTTACATA